GTTGTGAAGGTGATCGTCCTTCAGAAGCTTGAAGACAAAGATAGACCACCAGACTCTACTTTAGCTATGTGCCTTTCCATTGTTTCAATTTGTCCTACAAATTGGGGGCGGCTATGTTGGAAAGGCAGTATAACATTCAGAGACACTTACCTGTAGTAAGGTGTTGGGAGACATCTAGTGGCGAAAAATGGTAAGTGTGCTTTTTGTTCAGAACTGTGCAGCACTTTAAATAGTTATAAACGGAGCCAAGCAGCATGTGCAGCTGAAGTTGTGTGCGTAGATGACAAACGTAAGTGTAACATGATCAGAGTGACATAAATGTTTGTTTTGAAACTAGATACACCATGTTTAATCCGTGTTGCATATATTTGATAGTTAGTTTTGTAATGTTTAAGAGTATTCAATGATGGAAGCTACAGACTAATGCTAATCACATCCGATGCAACGCTTGTTCAGTGAAATGTGTTAAGCACAGATGTTAAGAGTGTTAAGCTTTGGTTATGATAAGCTATCATACTTTCTTGATGCAAATGTTGTTAAGTGATATTCTAAGTAGTGTTTTTATTGCTTTTTACTAGTACATACAGCAGGCATTTCTGATTTGCTTATTCCTTTCTTTGTAGACCACACAATAATATTCACAAGTGGTTCACCTATGCTGACATCTGTATCAGTGTGAATATGGAGAGGCTGCTGTATATCGCCTGAGTACGATTAAAGAACAACAAAAAAATGAGGCATCTTGTCTGTGCTCCTTACCGGCACACCGTGGAGGATATCAATATTAGTATCAGTCTTCATCCTACAGTCTAACTTCCAAACAAAGTAACAGAAATTGTTGTGTAAGCCTCCTCTAACCAAAAAACATGCAGATTTACAATGGAGAATCCTTCATGGTATTGTAGCTGTAAATTCTTTTGTTTCTGTTGTTAATCCTCCTGTGGAAGATAAATGTCCATTTTGTGAACAGAGAGAAGCGGTATTTCATTGTTTTTCTGACTGTGTTCGTCTGTAAGCTCTTTTTGTGCTTTTGAGAACTTTTTTCAACAGATATGGTGAAATGTTAACTAAACATGGATTTATTTGTGGTTTTTGATTCACACGGCAAAAAAAGAGCAAATGTGAATTGATTAATTTCTTGTTAGGACAGGCAAAAATGGCTGTGTACATACACTCACCGGCCACTTTATTAGTTTAACTGCTCGTTAACACTTAATTTCTAAGCAGCCAATCACATGGCGGCAACTCAGTGCATTTAGGCATGTAGACATGGTGAAGACAATCTCCTACAGCTCAAACCGAGCATCAGTATGGGGAAGAAAGGTGATTTGAGTGACTTTGAACGTGGCATGATTGTTGGTGCCAGACGGGCTGGTCTGAGTATTTCAGAAACTGCTGATCTACTGGAATTTTCACGCACAACCATCACTCGGGTTTACAGAGAATGGTCCGAAAAAAAGAAAAAACATCCAGTGAGCGGCAGTTCTGTGGGCGGAAATGCCTTGTTGATGCCAGAGGTCAGAGGAGAATGGGAGAATGGCCAGACTGGTTTGAGCTGATAGAAGGGCAACAGTGACTCAAATAACCACCCGTTACAACCAAGGTGGGCAGAAGAGCATCTCTGAACGCACAGTACGTCGAACTCTGAGGCAGATGTGCTACAGCAGCAGAAGACCACACCGGGTGCCACTCCTTTCAGCTAAGAACAGGAAACTGAGGCAACAGTTTGCACAAGCTCATCGAAATTGGACAATAGAAGAGAAGTCTCGATTCCTGCTGCGACATTCGGATGGTAGGGCCAGAATTTGGCGTCTACAACATGAAAGCATGGATCCATCCTGCCTTGTATCAACGGTTCAGGCTGGTGGTGGTGGTGTCATGGTGTGGGGAATATTTTGTTGGCACTCTTTGGGCCCCTTGGTACCAATTGAGCATCGTTGCAACGCGACAGCCTACCTGAGTATTGTTGCTGACCATGTCCATCCCTTTATGACCACAATGTACCCAACTTCTGATGGCTACTTTCAGCAGGATAATGCGCCATGTCATAAAGCTGGAATCATCTCAGACTGGTTTCTTGAACATGACAATGAGTTCACTGTACTCAAATGGCCTCCACAGTCACCAGATCTCAATCTAATATAGCATCTTTGGGATGTGGTGGAACGGAAGATTCGCATAATGGATGTGCAGCCGACAAATCTGCGGCAACTGTGTGATGCCATCATGTCAATATGGACCAAACTCCCTGAGGAATGCTTCCAGCACCTTGTTGAAACTATGCCACGAAGAACCGAGGCAGTTCTGAAGGCAAAAGGGGGTCCAACCCGTTACTAGCAAGGGGTACCTAATAAAGTGGCCGGTGAGTGTAAGTAGAAAGTGGAAGGTGGTGGAAGATTTGAATATGGACTCGGTTTCTTTGTTTATTAACTTGGTTGAATTTTATTTTTACAGATCACTTTCAGATTTAGATTTTTGTCACATCTGGAGTTATGGGAAAGTAATTTGTAGTTATATAGTTGTTTTTTTTCTGTTACATAGTTTGTGAAACTATGTTGATTATTTATTCATAATAAATTAGTTATTAAAATCTCTCTCCCTCTCTCTCTCTCTCTCTCTCTCTCTCTTTCTCTCTCTCTCTCTCTCTCTCTCTCTCTCTCTCTCTCTCTCGTTAGTTGGCCCCGGACAGTGGTGAATATTGGAAGTGCAGTTTCTTCTTATACAAGTATGTGAATAGTTCCATCTGAAATTAATTAAAATAATTTTTTTAAATGGTTATTGAGTCAGATATGTGGCGGGTAATGTTTGATTTATCGAAATGTTTTGTCTGTTACTGTTATCTGTTAATGGCTGTAATTTAAGGACAGATTCTAATATATCTGCACTGTGGGGTCCATAAATCTGACATGATTTTTATTTTTTAATTGATATTTAGCACAATTTGGCTTAACAATAATAGTAATAATACAAATAATATTTTATAAAACAATTATATACAGTACAGACACACCTTATCATTCAAAGAGTTTTTTTTTTATTTTCATGAATACACTGAAGACATTAGAACTTTTAATTAACACATGTAGAATTATGTACTTAACACAAAAGTGTGAAACAACTGAAAATATGTCTTATATTCTAGGTTATTCAAAGTAGCCACTTTTTGCTTTGATTACTGTTTCGCACAGTCTTGGCATTCTTTTGATGAGCTTCAATAGGTAGTTGCCTGTAATGGTTTTCACTTCACAGGTTTTCCCTGTCAGGTTTAATAAGTGGAATTTCTTGCCTTATAAATGGGGTTGGGACCATCAGTTGTGTTGTGCAGAAATCAGTGGGATATACAGCTGATAGTCCTACTGAATAGAGTGTTAGAATTTGTATTATGGCCAGAAAAAAGCAGCTAAGTAACGAAAAACAAGTGGCCATCATTACTTTAAGAAATGAAGGTCAGTCAGTTCGAAAAATTGGAAAAACTTTGAAAGTGTCCCCAAGTGCAGTCGCAAAAACAATCAAGCACTACGAAGAAACTGGCTCACATGAGGACCGCCCCAGGAAAGGAAGACCAAGAGTCACCTCTGCTGTAGAGGATAAGTTCACAGGTTCACAGCAGCTCAGACTAGAGACCAGGTCAATGCCACACAGAGTTCTAGCAGCAGACACATCTCTTGAACAACTGCGAAGAGGAGACTATGTGAATCAGGCCTTCATGGTAAAACAGCTGCTAGGAAACCACTGCTAAGGACAGGCAAAAACAGACTTGCTTGGACTAAAGAACACAAGGAATGGACATTAGACCAGATATGTGCTTTGGCCTGATGAGTCCAAATTTGAGATCTTTGGTTCCAACTTTTGTGTATTTGTTTAACGCAGAAAAGGTGAACGGATGGACTTTACATGCCTGGTTCCCATCGTGAAGCATGGAGGAGGAGGTGTGATGGTGTGGGGGGGCTTTGCTGGTGACACTGTTGGGCATTTGTTCGAAATTGAAGTCATAATGACCCAACATGGCTAATACCCTCATACTGCCCAACAGTGGGATTGTTATTCCAACCTCCTAATAAATGTGCACACTTACCTCTTATATGACTCAATTTCTTTACTAAAAATCTTTTCAATATTACTTCTAAGGGTGAATAAGCTGTATGACATTCTAAATTCTCTTTTTCTCCATAACTGATTTATTAAACAAAACATTGACTAAAACACTTTAGCTTTGATAGTTGTAAGATGTAATTTCTACTTTTTTGCAGCATACTTTACAGCTCACTGTTTCTCTCTGACACAAAGGTTATCTTAAACTCTTGCCTGTATGTCTTTAATATGAATGACAACATCAAGCATTCTTGACTCCTAAAAATATACAAAATGAAAGACATCCTATCTGATGTGTGTTAAGGGGAAAATTCTTCAGCTCCCCCTTGTGATCCTTTAAGACACAATATCTTTCAAGGACTGAGAATAGCTTTACAGAATTACTTAAAATTGATGAAAGTAAACCTTGAATTATTGTTTATTTTAAGTTTCAGAGACAGAACTATTGCTTTATTTGTACATATTTTGTGTTTTATAAGTATTTATTTTTAACTTGCTAAAAAAATAAAAGGTTGTATATTTTAAAAGAAGCTTGTGGATTACAACTTGAATTTATGACATGCCTTTGAATACTGATGCAAGGGACACCAGTGATACTCTAAAAGTTGTCTTGGTAACCCTATGGGCTCTATGTTGAAAATGTGCTCAATTTTTATTTCTCTTACAGTAACAGAACTCCCGATATCTAACAAGTTCGAAGGAAGGGGCGTTTATTGGTACTTCCTGGTACTCTTAATTGCTGTTGCAGAAAAAAACAACAACCTGATATTACATTTCATTTTATTACTAGAAAAAAAGAGTTTCACCAACTGGAACCTACATAAAAACTAAAAGTGGTTTAGCCTGGTCCAGGCTCTTTGCTAAAGGCGTGACAACACTTATCAAGCTGAGGTGCAGTCCCTCGTAGAGCAACATAGAGGAAGCATGTACTTCACAACACTTTGCACTCTTGCTGGTGAGTTCTAGATGTTTTATTTACTACTACTTTATAATAGATGGGAAGGGTTAGAAAACTGAACTCTTTCTGTAAAGTCAGGTTTTTACTTACAGTAAATGTGTTTTTGTGTGAAAAATTATTTAATTATTAGAAAATGCTCAGTGTGGTGGGTTTACAGACAGCTCTCTTCCATTTTGTTTTAGTAAAACTACTCCTTTATTTGATATTTATATGTGATATGGACAAAAACTACATCTAGAGGTACTACTTTAACCGCTACTTATGACCTTTCCATCCTTAAACTAATGTGGTTATCATTAACCAGAGTTCCATTTTGTTACTTTCACTGTCAGACTGAAAGTGACACTTACAGTTAAAAGTTCAAACAACTTCAACATAAGAAGATGTGAGTAAGAGAGTCAGAATTTTTTCCCTCAGTCCCCCAGACTCTGTTCTTCTATGGAAAACATTTAAAAAAACATTTTAAAAAAATCAATTTTTCATGACCTTGATGTTTTTTCCATCAAACACCTACATAGCTATACAACCATCTATTTTCCACACCCATGTTATCCTGTGCCATGGCATACAGGCTTCTGTAGAGAAAAAGAACTTCATCTTTAACTTTACATCCAAAAAAGCTCACCGGCTTGTATTGTGTCTTAACGTCATGTTGGTAAAAAATAATGACCACTAAGACGTGTGCATAGTGCCAATATTCGCCTTAACCTGTATTTTACGGTTTGCAATATTCAGAACTAACCCCGAGAACATTTACATCAAAGAAGCCCGCTGGGCACACAGCAAACTGGAGCAGGGGGAGAGATGGCAAGTTGTCTGGAGCAAGCACAGGAGAAGAGCAGCAAAGCAGAGCATAGCAGTAGATCGTAGAAGGTTAACGGCCAAACAGAGGACCCTGAATTTAGGGGATTGGTTGTAGATGGCCCAGGCTAGCTATAGAAGCTAAATAAGGAGAATCAAAGGAGGGCATCGGTAGATCAGGTAAGTCTGCACGTCAGATAGAGCCCTAAAGACAGGGGAGGGCAGCCGCTTGCCAAGAGAAAAGCATTGGTACATCAGAGAAATCAAAAAATAGAGCAGGGACAGGCAGTTACTGGTTTGGACTAGCCTCTAGAGGCTAACTGAAGAGGATCAAAGGAGGACAGCGGTAGATCAGAGGAGTCTGCTGGGCAGAGTGCCAGAGCAATGGGGAGAAGGTGGCAGCTGACTGGTGTCTGTACTAAAGGTAGGATGACAAAACAGTCGTTTTAGGGCTAAATTAAAACTATTTTTTTAAAAGCCACCTACAAACATCTTAAGAGCATTCCCCACTTCATCCTTTGTCAACATTATTTTCACCTACGTTATGGAGGCCTATCTGTCAACGGGATGCATATGTCAAAAGAATCTAGGATCTTTAGTAGTTAATCACATTATTTTTTGAGTGCATGTAAAGGTATCAAACATGTTTCCAATTTAAATGAAGATATGAAATTATATAAAATAACATACAATGACAAATTATAATATTGTTATTATTTTCTTCCTGGTCTTTCGCCAGTTCTTTGATTTTGGCCATGGTTGAGTTTGAGTCTGAGTGTCAGGCTCTAAATTGGTGTTCTTTATACAGATAACAAGTGTTAACAAGTTCCATTAACACAGTTAACAAGTAGAGAACAGAAGAGGTCCTTAAAGAAGAAGTTACCTTTCTGTGCAGGCCAGAATGCTTGATTTTCTGTGGGTGACCAAATACTTTTTTTCTCCATCATTTACAAAGAAATTATTTTAAAAAACCCTACAATGTAATTTCCTGGATTTGTTTTTTTATTTTTCTATTACAATTGACATGTACCTGTTACAGAAATTTCAGACCTCTCTCATTTTTCGTAGCAGAAGAACTTGCACAGACAGTGGCTGCCTAAATAATTTTTTGAATACCTTAGTAGGTAGGAACTTTATTTATTTAATTCCCAATGGGGGAATTCATGTGTCCAGTAACACCTATTAATCACAGAAACCACACACACGCACAAACACTAAAAATGGAAAAATATGAATTAAATTGTTTGCTATTCAGAAAATGCACTTGGTTAGCATGATGTGTTGTGCAGACTCTTTGCAGCAGGATTCATCTCCTGAACCGCTCTGTTCTACAATGCAGCAAGACCAGTCTGTCACTATGACTATTTCGCTAAGTGGCCTCATGTAGTTTGTTTTCCATCCTAGAGGTTGGTCTGCATCAGATGTCTTGTCGTCTTCTTCACCAACACCACCAGAGGATCTGCTCCCCCTATTACAGATTGACATTTTCTGATCAGTTTGTCAAGCCCCTTACCATCCAAGACAATGATGCTGTTATGCCAACAAACAACCCCAAAGAACATTTATCTAACATTGATGACTAGCCAGCAAAAATGAGCCAAAGCAGTCAGGCAGAATTTACATGAGGTGCTCAAAAACCCTGATTGAGTGCCAAGAAAACCAAAATACATATATTGTTAGGGAGGGGAGGTAACATTAAAAGGTGTGCTAATTGGGGACTTGAAGAATGTTGTGATATTGAAGGTTGGAAACAAGGTGAACCGAGGCAAACAAATCTTTAGAGCCTTGGATGGCGTAACTAGAACCTGGACCTTAACAAAGCAACTAAAATATACTAATCTGCGATATCTGACAATTCACTCTGTATCTCCTTCTCTTTCAGCTGTTTTGAGAATATTTCCAAACAGATCTCAGTTCTTTCTATATGATTCGATTGTGCTCAGCTGTGTGAACGATGGAAACTCATCTGACTGGAGAGTAATGAGAAAAACAACCAACAGCGAAGCCAAAGAGTGTTCCTCCTGGGGGAAGATAAATGTGTCGCAATGCTTAATCGATGCCGTTTACAAATTAGACAGTGGATTGTACTGGTGTGAATCCAGAACTGGAGCATGCAGTGAAGTTATAAACATCACTGTGACAGGTGGGTGCAGCTAAACAGCAATTGGATATATTTCTATCAATGAGCCACTGCTATTACTTTGTCTTCAACTTTATATTAATTTTTTTGGGAAACAGCTCGGAAAATTTTTGAGGCTAATTTACTGTAAGCATGTAAAAAAAATACAGCTTTTGTTATTAAATTAAATAACCTAGAGACAGGAGGGTAAGAGTGTATAACTGTCCGACAATTTTACATAATGTTAATTAATGTTAACTGAAGTGATTCATGAACACATGCTTGCTCAACACATACAAGGTCTAAATTCCATCAAATAATATGTTCGATGTTAATCATAATCATTTAAAATTTTATGTTTTTATTCAGAAAAAATCACGGCTAATGTCTTTCTCTTTCAAGGTAAAATATGCTCTGTGTTTGATGTCAAAGGAGTGGTCACCCAGAAATCTGACTTTTCGTATTAAAACACTGTTGTTGGAGTCGGGCTTTAGTTAAAATCTACCCAAAAAGAAAAAACAAATTGTGAGATTTGTTTGTTCTGTTTTTTGCTGTTTCTGTTGAGTGTGGGCTCTTTGTTCTAACCAACAAAAGCAAACAAGAGCATGTTTTCTAATAAGCAAGATTTTTGGTCTTCTACTTGATTACTTCACTTTAGAAAGGTTATTAACATTAGCCCGCCTTGCTATCACCACTCCCATCTTTATTCCACTAATGGTGGCCATTAAAACAACCAGGCAGTGGATAAGTATTGCTGTCTGCGTTATTTTTTAACTTTTGCGTATGAGACTGGGAAACAACGTTAAACAAACTACTAATGTAGCTAATGCTGAAATTACATAAAGCTCATACACACAATTTAGATTCTAAACTAAAAAGAAAAAAAGGTCAAAATGAGTTCCAGTGTATTTAAAGACCACTGTATATGTAATATAGCAGGTTATAACTAATTCAAAGTAGTAGATTATATTATACACTGCAAAAAATGAAATCTAAATAAGTCATTTCTTCTTAAAATAAGTGATTTTTTTCTTGAATTAAGGATTTAAGTGAGACACTTTGCCAATGGAACAAGACAATTTACACAAAATAAGAAAAGACAATTGCATTGTCTTATAATATCTAGATAGCTTATTTTAAGAGTAAAAATACTCATTCTATTGGCAAATCATCTTATTTACCTGCTCAAATTAAGGGTAAATACCCTTAATTTAAGACATTTTTACTCATTTTGAGATCATTTTTGCTGTGTACCAAGCAACATGACTCAGTGGACAGTTTAATTATCCAGTTTTCATTTGAAAGGCAGAATAGTCATTGAACATTATTTTTTTTAGATAGTTTAGAAATATAGACTTATATTTCTATTATATTTCTATTTATTCTGATGTTTGAAGTAAATTGATTGATATGAATCATCAGAAAATTCCAATTGTATTATTTTATTATTAACTATGTTCACACCAAAAACAGGACGTGAGAATCTTGAACATAATAAGGACATGTTTATCTATGTTTCCCCCTTATCTAAACTAGGGAGGAAACTTCTTTTCAAACCTCCTTATTTTCCAGACATCTCAGCATAAAGAATGGAACAAAGCTTCTAAGCAATCACCCCTATTCAGGAGCAGAAAAAAGGCACACTTTAATATTTTATCTCACTAACAGGCCAAGGAAAAAATATGATTCCACACCTTCCACGCACTTTGCTATAATACTATGTAAATCCGTCACCCTCGCTGCACGCGCCTCGCTTGGCCTGAATGCATGTTTACACATTAGTGTACTGAAAAAAGTACTAAAAAAAAAAAAAGATATCTCTTTTTTCCTTAAAAGACAGGGGATCCTGTTAAAACTTTGAAAATTAAAAATATGCTAGAATATGTGCAGGTTTACTGATTAGGTAGTTAACTGATTAGGTAGTTAACTCAGCTTTGTTGATGATAAGAGTACGGTAAACAAAAATTAAAACTCATGAAGCATGAAATGAAAACACAGTATAGACAAAAGCACTCCTTTAATAAGAGATTTCATTTGAGATTTTTTTTTAAATCTAATACACTATATTGCCAAAAGTATTTGCTCACCTGCCTTGACTCACATATGAGCTTAAGTGACATCCCGTTCCTAATCCATAGGGTTCAATATGACGTCGGTCCACCCTTTGCAGCTAGAACAGCTTCAACTCTTCTGGGAAGGCTGTCCACAAGGTTTAGGAGTGTGTTTATGGGAATTTTGACCATTCTTCCAGAAGCGCATTTGTGAGGTCGCACACTGATGTTGGACGAGAAGGCCTGGCTCTCAGTCTCCGCTCTAATTCATCCCAAAGGTGTTCTATCGGGTTGAGGTCAGGACTCTGTGCAGGCCAGTCAAGTTCATCCACACCAGACTCTGTCATCCATGTCTTTATGGACCTTGCTTTGTGCACTGGTGCACAGTCATGTTGGAAGAGGAAGGGGCCAGCTCCAAACTGTTCCCACAAAGTTGGGAGCATGGAATTGTCCAAAATGTCTTGGTATGCTGAAGCATTCAGAGTTCCTTTCACTGGAACTAAGGGGCCAAGCCCAGCTCCTGAAAAACAACCCCACACCATAATCCCCCCTCCACCAAACTTTACACTTGGCACAATGCAGTCAGACAAGTACCGTTCTCCTGGCAACCGCCAAACCCAGACCCGTCCATCAGATTGCCAGATGGAGAAGCGCGATTCGTCACTCCAGAGAACGCGTCTCCACTGCTCTAGAGTCCAGTGGCGGCGTGCTTTACACCACCGCATCCGACGCTTTGCATTGCACTTGGTGATGTATGGCTTGGATGCAGCTGCTCGACCATGGAAACCCATTCCATGAAGCTCTCTGCGCACTGTTCTTGAGCTAATCTGAAGGCCACATGAAGTTTGGAGGTCTGTAGTGATTGACTCTGCAGAAAGTTGGCGACCTCTTCGCACTATGCGCTTCAGCATCCGCTGACCCCGCTCCGTCAGTTTACGTGGCCTACCACTTCGTGGCTGAGTTACTGTCGTTCCCAAACACTTCCATTTTCTTATAATACAGCTGACAGTTGACTGTGGAATATTTAGGAGCGAGGAAATTTCACGACTGGATTTGTTGCACAGGTGGCATCCTATCACAGTTCCACGCTGGAATTCACTGAGCTCCTGAGAGCGACCCATTCTTTCACAAATGTTTGTAAAAACAGTCTGCATGCTTAGGTGCTTGAATTTATACACCTGTGGCCATGGAAGTGATTGGAACACCTGATTCCAATAATTTGGATGGGTGAGCAAATACTTTTGGCAATATAGTGTATTACTTTCAGACCGCCAGCAGCAGGAGCAGCAAAACAAAACGTGCAGCTTCCTTTTTGATGCTTGTACAAGTTTAGTTCCACTAAGTGGGTCTGATGCATGTTGGATGGAGCTACTCTATCCTATTTTTTTGCCTGTAACAGCCATCCATCCATTTTCTAGCACGCTTCTAGTGGGGTCGCAAGGGGTTCTGGTGCCTATCTACAGCAGTCAATGGTCAAGAGGCAGGGTCCACCCTGGACAGGTCGCCAGTCCATTGCAGTTGTCTGTAACAATGGCAGCTATATTTGCTGTTATAAGTCGCCAAAAACTAGTTTTAATGTGTTTTTTAGTGAGAAAGTCCACGTGAAAGCTTCATCTGTGCAGACACTTCATCATGATTATGATCCTGCCTTCAAATATTATTTCTCTGTCGGAGCTGCTCAGACCCCCGTACACACTGCAAAAAATAGAAATCTCAATAAGTTATTTTTTCTTAAAATAAGTGTGTTTTTCCTTGATTTGAGGAGGTAAGTAAGACACTTTGCCAATGGAACAAGACAATTTCCTTTTAAAATAAGAAAAAACTATTTTATCGTCTTATTTCAAGTAAATATTATCTAACTATCTTATTTTAAGAGTAGAAATACTCATTCCATTGGCAAATCATCTTATTTACCTGCTCAAATTAAGGCTAAATATACTTAATTTAAGCCATTTTTTACTGATTTCTGGATTGTTTTTGCAGTGCACCGGCAGTGATCTGTCACTTGGAACCCTGTTCAAAAGCAGCCTCTGGCCCGGTTGCCTCTTCACGGTTTTCTCCTACTGTTTGTGGTGGCTTAAAGGTGTTTTTCACCTACGTACAGTAATCCAAACTACAGGCACCTGTGTTAAAACCCAACATATTTAGCTGGCAGGTCTGTCTCCCTGCCAGCTCCCAGATTGGCTTCTCTGATTGGTTGATGTGGCATGTCGAGCCTCAAAAGTTCAATTTTTCCAACTTCAGCAGCTGCTGCTTTCTTAATTGGGTTGCATGCGTCAGATGCTCAGAAGCTCATGATGCGTTGCTTCTGCTGCTCAAAATGCGCTGCGGAACCTTTTGATGCACCAAGATGCAAGTCAACCATTGACTTTGCATATAAACTGCTTCTGCTGCCTCTGCTGTTTGTTGTCTTAACGTAGCATAAGGCAGTTAAACCATAATCTTAATTTTTTGGGGGGGAGGTTGGCTTACTCATTTTATATCATAAAGGGCTTTTATGTTATTTATCTCTGTCTGGTGCTCAGATGGTCCTGTGATCCTGGAGAATCCTGTGCTTCCTGTAGCAGAGGGAGAAGCAGTGAGCCTGCACTGCATCCATAAAAATGGCTCCTCCAACCTCACTCAGTTTTATAAAGATGGTCTCCTGATTGGGAGCAGCACAACTGGAAACATCACCATCCAGGATGTTTCCAAGTCTGAGGAAGGTCTCTATAAGTGTAACATTGCTGGAGCTGGAGAATCGGCAGAGAGCTGGCTGTCAGTCAGAGGTGAGAAGAAATTTGCACAAAGAGCTGATGAACTTCATTAAATTTAATGATTAGTGACATGTCTGCTGTGGGTGTTTGTAGGTTGTGTCACTGTTCTAGTGTATTTATAGCTTTGAACTATAACTGTTTTACCCCTCCCCCATATGCCGTTGAAGGTAGGAAGCCGGACTCTCTTCACTTTCGACCTGCATACGTGTTACTTCCTGTTGTTGCTGTCTGTCTCTCTTTTGCATCATTGAAGCTCTTTCACTTCTGGAAAAAATTCAAAGGTCAGCCCTGTTTCCTATGAATCAAGTACTGTTTTTTTTTTTTTTTTTTTTTTTTTTAAGTAGTTGAAAGAGAGATTGGGAAAATATGTTCTAACCAGGAATTTTGTCTTTTTTGAATGCTTGGCAACATGAACAGGGAGGTGTTTTTTATTTATACAATTGCAACATTATATTGTGTACATAAGTTGTGTCACAAAAAATTATTATCATAAATTATATATTTGTTTATATATATCTTAATAATAACATATTTGTCCCTACTTAAAGGGGTCATAGAATATAAAACTGAGTTTACATTGTCATAGATGAATAACAATAGTTCAGTGGGTGAAATGGACGTACAGAGTTCAAACCCCATCGACACCTCCTTTCTCTACAAATCTCATAATTCTAAACTCCATGCATCCATTTTCTGTCATGCTTATCCCAAGCGGGGTTGCCAGGGTTGCTGGTGCCCATCTCCAGCTGTCTATGGGCGAGAGGCGGGGTACACCCTGGAGAGGTCGCCGAAGTAACCGGAGAGAACCCATGCATGCTCAGGAAGAACATGCAAACTCTGCAGAAAAAAAGTGGGCCGAGAATCTAACCTGGAACATTCTTGCTGCAAGAAGGCAGTGCTACTCACTGCCCCACTGTGCAGCCCACGATTAGAAACTTCCATCATAAAATGGGCAAATTCAAACAAAGCCCCGAATTGACTTCAATTCGGAGATGTTGCCTTATTTGATTCTGGCCTGTACTTTTGTCACTCCCTGAAATTTACATACAGATCAGCCAACAGGTTCACTGGCCCAAAGGGGGGTATGAAGGGTCGACTGCTGGGCCGCTAATTGGACTGGACCTCAGCAGAGAGCCATGAGCCGCCCGTCCTCAGCCGGAGGAGGGGGGCTGGGGCCTGGTAACAGACATCCCAAGGCTCCTGGAAGTTCTGGGAGTCTCCTTGATATAGATAGTTGTTCACGGATGCCCGCGAGTCGGATAAATTATCCCATATTTTAGACTATGCAAGGTGGTGTTTTTTTTAACGTCAGTGAGTGCGTGCAGGCAATACAATAATTGGTGCACCATGTGCGGATTACAACTGCTTCGATTACACATACAACAATAAAGTGTGGGGAGAAGGTTGCTTGTGAAACCTGTGCATATCTGTCCAAAGCAATGCTCTGTTTTACGAGCTTTCCAGGTGACTGGTTTTCAAAGAGCGTGCCGATTGGATTAGTCAGAAAAATAAGCCAATAAGTTTGGTTTACTCTCTTACAGTCACCTAGTTACCACTCAAGACGTACATCCTGTGAAATAGGCTGAATCCTCCTGTAAAAACCAAAAATATAAGACTCACTTTACAGCAGAATATACTAAAGTATATCCACGTCTAGTTAAGGTGAAGAATGATGAAATGTGTATGAATGGGGAACGGTGCAGGTCGGTTGTCTTCGGCGGCGGCGAGCGAGGGAGCGCATGTAATTTCCTCTCAAGTCGAAATCACGAAACCAAGTCATTCTTTTTGTTACTGGCTTTAACCCTTTATAGGGCAAGTTACAGTTTTTGATTACTTGCATATCCCTTACAAATGGAGTCCCCTCAGTGAGGTCTAGAAGCACAAGATATATATCCAGTCATTCAGCAAAGATCCTGCTACATGGCTATACATCTTATTTTGGAATTTGTCCAATTATTTGATCCCTTGAATGATATATTACCTACTGTAAATTAAGTTTAACAAAAAGTTAAAAAGCCAAGAAAAAAGGAAAAAAGCTCATTCAAAAGTTAAAAAAGTAAAGTTGAAAAGGTAATAAGCCTATTTAACAATTATATTTAAGTTTATACACTAAAGAAATGTAAGTGCCGGTATCAGCATTAATGCTTTTAAGGTTATGTTGTAACAAAAAAATGTGTTTCTTTCACTCTCAGAGTTTTTCCTGAATTCCTTATAGAAGCACTTTTGTTATTTTCTTAATATATTCGGGCAAGTTGTCGTTTCTTATTACATTGACATTGATTTTTGCCATCAAAATATCCATATTGTTTGAAATTTACAAAGGTAATAATAAGGTCTTGTCCTGGATTCCAATTACACCATTGGCTTGAAATTTTGAAAGTATTTCCGTGCCCTATAAAAGGTTAATCACTCAAGAAGCATGATAGTGTGCCATGAGAAATGTTAAAACCTACAGACAAAAAAGCAAATAGAACTAATTATTTTCCCGTAAAGACATCAAAGGAAAAATGCGACCATAGAAATTCTTTGCGTTACGTCTTAACGGTCAAACAAAGTTAACCGTAAAATAAACAAAAATGTACCTCATTAGCTGATTTCCCATGAGAGAAAATTAGAATCTTCAGTCCTTTAATGCACTATGCACTTTATCCAATTTTCTTATAACATTGCTGTTGGCTTATGAAGAAGAATCAAATAGGTGTCTCCTAATAGCTTCGTCCAAAACCACGTTACTGATCCACAGGTACCCCTTAGTTAAGACTCGTTTCCCCCATATCAAACAAACACTATACATGAAATACATGAAATTATGCTTTTAATATTTAACTATTGTTATTAGAAATAGATGTATTTATGAACTCCATTTTTAATCAAAATATTTATTGATCTGTTATTTATTTATTTATTTATTATGACTTCGATGGCAGCTACAGCTAGGGTTGGTGTTACACTGTAGTTGACCAAAATCCCGAACAATTTTGAAATTCACCCAGACATTTCTTTAGGTATGAAAAGAAGGACGTTTGAAGGGTGTTTGGGAAAAAGAGGACGTCTGGTCACCCTACCATATCAACAATTTGATGTTTCAGTGAGTGAGTGCTTGTTGCTGATGCATCTGCTCAGCAGCAATGCTCAACCAACCAATCAGCTCAAGGCTCATCTAAATATTCATGATCATACCATAAAAGGAAGGAAACCTGTCGTTTCAATCTAGGGCTTCTAACCAGGGTTGCATTAGGGCTCATAGAACATCAAATATACCATTTTCAGCCCAATCAATGTTACAAACCCTTTTCAGAGACCTTAAAGACCAACACCAAATACCCTATATAATCATTCTATGACCCCTTTAAAATGAGGTGTTATATTAAGTATATTATTAATATATTAGTTACATTGCAAGTTAGCAGCTATTTAATGTGTAGGAAATGTTTTTCTGCAGCTAAAGCGGACGATGACATGTCCTATATCGATGTCACCTTCCTACAGGGAGTGCAGCCAAAGGCAAATGCAGGTAATTTCTCTAACTGAAAATAAACAGCAGTCAATGCATGATATTTAAGCAAAAAGCTGTATTTTTTTTATTTCATATATACAAGGTCCCAACGCAACATTTTCAGATAAAATCTTCTAACATAACTGTCAAAGGCTGGTCCTAAATATGGTTTGGTTTCACACTTTGTCAATGTTATATTGATGAAGGGCTTTGAGTTTTGTTATGCTTTTTGTTTGTTAGGTCAAGCAAACTACAAATTGAAATAAGTAGCTTAAATAAATATTTAGATGCATCCAAAATTGAAAGAACTGATATTTTAACATTATTCAATGAGGAATGTGTTACCAAATGACACTGCATTGAATGTAAATGAAATATTTAAGTGCAAGAATTATACAAACCTGTCTTTTATTTTATTAATTGCTGAATAAACTGAATTAATCTGTCATTTACAGAAAGAACATCTGAACCACCACTATACTCAACAATCAAATGTGGAACCGGCTGATAGGATCCCACCCGCATTAATCGCTTAAAAATGTCTTGTTATATAATGTTTGTATTTTTCCTGATATTTTTTAAAGAAGACATTCTTCATAATGCTTTATTTTGCATTTCATGTAACAAAGTGAGAAAGTCCTTTACATATCCAAAATGATCTGAAATATCAAAACATTATATCCTATGTATTTTGGGTTAAAATATGACAAAAGTATACATACAGAGAGCATCATGTAGGCTTACAGTTTTTTTCACCATGTGACTTCTATTCTCAGTTTAGTGATGTTCTATAGTGTGATTTCCACTGCAGTGGAGCTTCCCAGACACTTATTACATTATTTACATTCAATGATTTACAGACTTCAAATAGGTTTTCTAAATTATATTACGATATTAGGATTGTGATAATAATACAAAACATTTGGTTGTCTCCTAAAAAGGGTGCAAGATGCTGGTATTGCATTTTTAACTAAAATAAGTCAATGATAAAGATGACTAATGGCAAAAAACTTCCATGTAGTTACTGTTCTAAAGGGTCCATGAGCCAGATGAAACCAGGAGCAGTACATCCAAACAAGGTATATGTAGAAAAGTGATGGTAGAAGGCAACTCAGGTTTATTGTATATAGAACAATTCAGTACAAAGACAATTCAAAATGCAAAGTTATTAAGATAAAAACATTATAAAAGAAGATGGTAAAACAAATAAAACAGTTGGATTACGGTTACAAACTCAGGCTTTTAGCCTTTTTACAGTACTCTGGAAGTTTGTTCCATAAAAGTGGAGCATAGGAACTTTGCACAATGGAAGTTTAGACAATATTTATACATCCGAAGGCCAAATAAAAAAGGGAAAAGAGAAAATTCACTCAATGGATTTATACTTAATTTATTAGGTATAATCTTGGATAGAACAACTCCAAACATAAAATGAATGAAGTATTATATACATTAGCAAAGAGTGAAAAGCATGCAGTGGTGATTTTCTTGGACAATCTAGTCAAGCAACAAAAACCAGTAGTGGCTCGATCCTTAGGAGAAAAAAATCTCATTGTCTCATTAAAGTATCTAATAACTCGAGCCTCAATTTCACCTTGAAAAAAAATCATATATTGTAGTTATCATGTTCACTTTGATGTCTGGCAGGACATTCCACTCAGCCCTAAGATCATTAAGGTTCTGGAGTTCACAGTTCAGACCCTGTAGACCACAGGTGTCAAACTGGTACCAGAAAGGGCCGTGTGGATGCAGGTTTTCTTTCCAACCAAACAATAGCACACCAGACTCCTGGTGTGCTATTGTTTGGTTGCTATTGTGGGGGGGTTGATTGAAAGAACAAATGTCTCATCATCGGTATTTGCTCTGTGATCAGAGGAAATGTTAGTTGGCGCAGAACAGTGGTGAAAATTGGAAGTTCAGTTTAATATAATACAACTCTGTGAATAGTTCCGTCTGAAATTAATGAAAATAGTTGTTTTAATGGTTATAGAGTCAGATATGTGGCGGTAATGTTTGGTTTATCTAAAGGTTTTTATCTGTTGCTTTGTAAATGAGTTTGGCTGTAATTTAAGGACAGATTCTAATAGATCTGCAGAGTGGGAACTATAAATCTGATAGGAGTTAAATTTTTTTAATGTTGTTTTGCACAATATGCCTAACTAAGTATTTTTTGTTTTTGAATATTAGAGATTTTGCAGATATATTTTGTAGATACATTGTTTAGATTTACTTATATATTTCTAACCCTTTTATAGAATAGAAGATCCCTTTATTGTCCCACAATGGGCAAATTTACAGCAGCAGAAAGATTATTGAAAATGGTCACACAAATGAGGACCTTAGAAAAATGTATAAGAATAACATAATAGGGAAGAGATAAAATATAAAAAATAAAATTCTGTAAAGTGTTTTAACAATATAAAACTGGAGAATTAATAACCAATATGCAGCTATGGACATTTTTACAATAATGGATATTTGAAAATAGCAACAACATCAGAGATGTGCAGAATGACAGCAGCAGGTTATTTAACTGACTAAGGTTTCTATCATTACATTTGATTTTATTTGTTCCTGCTCCCGCTGGTTGGAATCTTTATTCCACTCTGGATTCTTGTGAGAGTAGTCTTTGTTCACTTTAACTTTTTAAAAAATAAATAAATAAACAAACAGTTTTGAAAACCTCGGTATTCATTCTTTTCCTGCTTTGTGTGTCAACTTTCACGGTTGCTAAGCAACAGAGCATACGGCGGTAAAACCCGCCGAAGGGTGGACCTGTTCGAATTTACAGCCAAAACTCCTCTGGTCTCCTTATTTTCAAGGACTTCGAAGGATCCAGTCTAGGTAGACCACGTCCTTGGAGGATGCAGCCCAGGATTTCGAACAGAGCCTCTGATTAAGAACAGGGCTGCCCGCACTGACGCGGCTCAGGGATTACGTCACACGGAGCGTTGTGCGCAGTGAAATCAGGACATTTCCTCACTTTCAAAAAAAAAACCGGGACGCCCGGGACAGGACGTGAAATACGGATATGTCCCGGGAAATACGGACGTTTGGTCACCCTAGTAATAGGCAAGAACATTCTGGTAATGGTGAAAGACTTGGATGTAAGGTTCACATAGGATGGCTGAATTTGAAAGTGTGGATGGAGAACTAAGAATTAAATCAAATGTTGGTGTAGGAATAGGTGTAAAGCTAGGAATCCTGTGTTACAAAAGTAGATGTGGTTAACATTGCATTAGAGGTAGAGAGGGAGTCTTGTGTAAGAGCAATTGATGTTGTAGTAAAATGTGTGCCACGGGTACTGGATGAATCCTGTGTAAAGCCAGGTGATGTAGAAAAGGGAGTAGGTTGGGTACTTGAAGAATCCTGTGTAGTAATAGGTGATAGTGTAGTAAAACGTGGGGCAGGGGTACTGGCCGAATCCAGTGTAAAGCTTGGAGATCTAGTAACAGGTGTGGATGGGGTACTGGAAAAAGACTGTGTTGGACTAAGTGATGTAAAATGTGTAGCAATGGTACTGGAAGATTCCTGTGATAAACTAGCAGATGTGGAAAAGGGTGTAGATATGATACTTGAAGAATCATGTGCAGGACTAGATGACATAGTAAAATGGGTAACAGCTATACTGGAGGAATCCTGTGTTACAAAAGGAGATGTGGTTAAAGTTGCAGCAGAGGTAGAGAGGGAATCTTGTGTAAGAACAATTGATGGTGTAGTAAAACTTGGGGCAGGGGTACTGGATGAAGCCAGTGTAAAACTAGGAGATCTAGAAAAAGATGTAGATAGGGTACCTGAAAAATCCTGTGTAGGAATAGGTGATGGTGTAGTAAAACTTGGGGCAGGGGTACTGGCCGAATCCAGTGTAAAGCTAGGAGATCTAGTAACAGGTGTGGATGGGGTACTGGAAAAAGACTGTGTTGGACTAAGTGATGTAAAATGTGTAGCAATGGTACTGGTAGATTCCTGTGATAAACTAGCAGATGTGGAAAAGGGTGTAGATATGATACTTGAAGAATCATGTGCAGGATTAGATGACATAGTAAAATGGGTAGCAGCTCTACTGGAGGAATCCTATGTTACTAAAGGAGATGTGGTTAAAGTTGCAGCAGAAGGAGAGAGGGAATCTTGTGTAAGAACAATCGATGGGTAGTACAACTTGGGGCAGATGTACTGGATGAATCCAGTGTAAAGCCAGGTGAATAAGAAAAGTGTGTAGGTTGGGTACTTGAAGAAACCTGTGTAGGAATAGGTGTAGGTGTAGTAAAACTTGGGGCAGGGGTACTGGCCGAATCCAGTGTAAAGCTAGGAGATCTAGTAACAGGTGTGGATGGGGTACTGAAAAAAGACTGTGTTGGACTAAGAGATGTAAAGCAATGGTACTGGAAGATTCCTGTGATAAACTAGAAGATGTGGAAAAGGGTGTAGATATGATACTTGAAGAATCATGTGCAGGACTAGATGACATAGTAAGATGAGGTAGCAGCTGTACTGGAGGAATACTGTGTTACAAAAGGAGATGTGGTTAAAGTTGCAGCAGAGGGAGAGAGGGAGTCTTGTGTAAAACCAATTGATGGTGTAGTAAAACTTGGGGCAGGGGTACTGGCCGAATCCAGTGTAAAGCTAGGAGATCTAGTAACAGGTGTGGATGGGGTACTGAAAAAAGACTGTGTTGGACTAAGAGATGTAAAGCAATGGTACTGGAAGATTCCTGTGATAAACTAGAAGATGTGGAAAAGGGTGTAGATATGATACTTGAAGAATCATGTGCAGGACTAGATGACATAGTAAGATGAGGTAGCAGCTGTACTGGAGGAATCCTGTGTTACAAAATGAGATGTTGTTAAAGTTGCAGCAGAGGTAGAGAGGGAATCTTGTGTAAGAACAATTGATGGTGTAGTAAAACTTGGGGCAGATGTACTGGATGAATCCTGTGTAAAGCCAGGTGATGTAGAAAAGGGAGTAGGTTGGGTACTTGAAAAATCCTGTGTAGGAATAGGTGATGGTGTAGTAAAACGTGGGGCAGAGGTACTGGCCAAATCCAGTGTAAAGCTAGGAGATCTAGTAACAGGTGTGGATGGGGTACTGGAAAAAGACTGTGTTGGACTAAGTGATGTAAAATGTGTAGCAATGGTACGGTAAGATTCCTGTGATAAGCTAGCAGATGTGGAAAAGGGTGTAGATATAATACTTGAAGAATCATGTGCAGGACTAGATGACATAGTAACATGGGTAGCAGCTGTACTGGAGGAATACTGTGTTACAAAAGGAGATGTGGTTAAAGTTGCAGCAGAGGGAGAGAGGGAGTCTTGTGTAAAACCAATTGATGGTGTAGTAAAACTTGGGGCAGAGGTACTGGATGAATCGAGTAAAGGTGTTGATAGGATAATGGAAGAAGACTGTGTTGGACTAAGTGATGTAAAATGTTTAGCATGGGTAATGGAATAATTCTGTGATGAATTACAAGATGTCGTAAAGGGTGTACATGTGGTACTGTAAGACTCCTGTGAAAGACTAGGTGACATAGTAATAGCAGTACCAGTGGTACTGGAATAATCATTGATTGAAATAGGAAATGAAGTTAAAGTTGTCGCAGCGGTAGATGGGGAATATTTTGTAAGACCAGGTAATGGTTGAGTCAAATGTGAGCCAGGGCTGGAGGAATACACTGTAAAACTAGGAAATTTAGTGAAGGGTATAGGTTGGGTACTTGGAGAATAGTGTGTAGGTCTAGA